GGCTAGGCGGTCATCTAGGCAGTCTATGCGGGTTAAAATCGGACGACCAATTTTCTACGGCGATTTAGCATAAATCGGGGCGGAAGAGGGTCGCCTAGCGTCTAGGCGGCTAGGCAGCCAATTTTTAGAACATAGCTAATGACTAGGAAGATGCAGAGGGAATATATTTGCAGCATCAGAAAATTTACCCCTGGGAGGAAAGATATATGAATTATATATGAAGAGGTGAGTATCTTTAGATGTTCTTTTGGCATTAAACAATAGTAACTGGACAGCATTCTTTGGTTATGAAAAACGTATAGAAGATGCTTTTAAAGCGTGGATGTATCCTTTTTAAAAATATCTCCCTACTTGGTATGATGACTGGGGTTATTTGCAAGACATTTTCCACATCTTCATATCTACTCTTACGATAATTATTTGGATGAGTTGACTAAATTCAGAATATTGGTGTTAATCCAGTATCGTAACTGAACTACTCTTTTCTTTGGTCAAAAAAAAAATAACTAATCTTTAAACAATAATTCACATATGGAAAATAACTAACTAATCTTTAAAAGAATCACAATAATATTCATGAAATATTTCCATACCCACAATAATCTTTGAAAGAAGCATAAACACATTTATAAATTAAAAACCATATTTCCAATTTTACCTAAAATATCTAATTTCATAAGTTACAATTTCTCTATTATTCCTAAAATATAGATAAATAATTAAAGGTCATATTTCCAAAGGTAGTTAAGAAAATTTGTTAGTGTTTATTCTAATAATTTATTATATTGAAGATTTACTTACAAATTTTTCTATTATTTTGCGATATTTTGTTGTTTCTAAAATATCATAGATTTTCTTTACGATTTTTATAAAGATCTTAAACCTATGCCAATCACAAAGACCATATCTCACTCATCTCTCATTATCAAAATCTATAATGGCTATCAAGTAAAACGTTTATAGCTTATACTAATATCTTTAATTTTTTTTACATGAAAATTAATTATAGGATTTCCAGCACTAATACATATTTATTTTGAAATTAGGTCCATAACTTTTAAAAAATAAACAGAATTTCCTATAATATTGGAATATTAGTATTTTTATTATTTTTTGTAAGAAATACCTGTACTAACATCTGCGAATATTAGTTCTAATCGAAAATTTCTATCCTACATAAGAAGATTACATTATACTAAAAAGTTTATTTAACAATAGTGATCACTAAAACAAACAAAACCAACTATATTAGTATATATACATACCAATCACAACATTATATTTTTTTTTTGTGTGAATCACATCATTATATAATTCTTCGTATAATTTTAAACTAAATAAAATGATACAATAAACATAACAACCAAATATTTATATGTTATAAAATAAACTGTTTATAAAATTAGTAATTCTGCGCTATTAAAGCGCGGGTAAAAATCTAGTTTTACGGATCATATATATATTGAAAAGTTCAAGTTATGGTATATGTAAAAATGTAGATATATTTTTAGCTGACAAAAATTCATCGGAGAAATTGAAAGTCGAGAATTAAGAGAAACTTCAAAAGACAAAAAAAATAAAAATAAGAACAGAACAAGAATGCAATTATATCAAATTTGGAAGTGTTCAAAAAATAAATAAATCAAATTTGGTATGTTTGAGTTTTAGTAGCACTATCTTGAGTGGGTATGGAAACAGAAAGAGTTCACGGCCACATAGAACCATCGAATATTAATTTTATCAGGGACATCCAACCAGGAAGTGACAGGCAACACAGTCGTGGCACAAAACCATAGTGTCTCCTTTTCAGAACATATTAGTCCAAGGCTTAAATGTTTTCGAAAGAATAAACCTGGTAATCCAATGACGATTGAGAAAAATAAATCCAATACAACGAATTTTGGTTCAAACTGAATATAGATTTTATTTTTAGCCCATTTAAATACTCAAAATATGGTCTATCTGTAGACTTTATCTTTATCTGGAAATTAAATATATATATTTAGTAGATCTGTGTTTAAACACTTTTTAATTTAAACACCTTTGGTTATTATATTCCGATTTGGTTTCCCATAAACACCTCAAGTCTAAGTAATATATTAGTATTTTGATATCCTAAAAAAAAACACTTTTTAGGTTTTTTTTTTTTGTCAACTGACCTTTTAGTTTAAAAAATAAAAGACGTCCCGCAAGATCCGTTTTGTTTTATTTTTTTTTTTCATCAAACGGCTGATCTATTACTTAAGCAACTTGAGGTGGTCTGGGGATCCAGACCGGAATAGAACAACCAACAAACACAAGCTTACGGTAAAAAGACCTAGCTGTCTTAGCTAGAGAATCAGAAACGCCGTTCTGTAATCTAGGAACATAAAAAATCTTAAATTCATGAAAACAGATCTTCAGCGTCTCCAATTTTTCCAGTTCTGTTGAGAAGTTAGGCCATGCATGAGGACTCCTGAGCATCTCGATTATCTCCTTACAATCAGTTCCAAAGCTCTGACATGGCGAACGTTGAAGCATATTCTCCATTGCCCACCGCAATGCTTCCAACTCTGAATGCAACGCCGATTCCACTCGATCAAAACTACGCAGCCCTAATAACTTGCTATTTCTGAAATTATCATTCAACACCCATCCATAACCATTAAAAGCATTTGTAGAAGTCCAAGATCCATCCACCATGCATATATTACCCAAGCTTAAGGCCTGGTCTTCTTCTCTTCCGTTCCCAATGGAGACCGGAGTTTCTGCTCATTTGCTTTGAACCATGCTTGGCATTCACTTTCAGCATAGCACGCTAACTCTAAAGGGTCCCTATCAATACCTCTGAATAGCTTATCATTCCTAGCCTTCCAAATGTACCATATTAGCCAAGGATAAGGATCCCTGTCCAATTCTCGTTCCATTATCGCATTCTTCCTCCAGAAAAGATAATCCATATTCGCGTACGTGCTTTGAACTGGAAACAGAGCGGGATTGGTAGGCGTAGATGATAGTGCCCAAACTTGTAATGCAGGTGGGCATTCAAATATTGCGTGAGTGATCGTCTCCTCGGGTTTCCCACAGCGAGGACAGTGATTGTCATATCTCATATGTCTATAGTTTAAGATGCTCGTGACAGCTACATGTCTTGTTATCAACTGCCACATAAGATGACAAATCTTTTGAGGGGCCTTAACCTTCCAAACATGTGCTTGAAGCTTTGTGATACTAAGCTCGCATACTGCAGGTTCTTCTTCCTTCCACAAAATGTTTCATGCTACCCAATATCCAGTATACTGTCCAGTTTTCGTATAGCTCGCGCAAGATCCGTTCACCAAGTTAATTTTGTGTATTTTATTTTCTTGGCTAAGATATGTACCGGACAAAAAAGTATTAGTTAGACAAAAATATTTTTTGTACAGAGACATGTTAGTTAATACTTCCAAGTTGAGGACTCACGTTGACAACATAGTGAAGCAAAGAGTGAAAAAACTTGATATTGGAACATCCTGAACCAAATAAAGTGCGAGGAAGGTGTAAACTTTATGAATTTGCAAATTTAGTTTAAAATTTTGAACGTGCTTGATAAAATAAAAAACCCTTGATATTCATTACTCTGGAAACTAAATTATAAAAAACAAACATGTATATAGGGATCGATATGGGGAAACACCTTAAAACCATTTGCTATACTGGAATCCATATCCATTTGTGATTTGTCTTTTTTTTTTTTTTTTTTTTTTTGATAAATCCATTTGTGATTTGTAAGAAATCGACACAGTTTTGAGAAGACCTGATGCGTTACATGTTCCATATTTTCTAGCTTTTATTGTAGAACTAGATTTCGACCCGCACAACCGTGCGGGTATTTTAATACAAAAATATTTGAAATTATATAATANTTTTTTTTTTTTTTTTTTTTTTTTTTTTTGATAAATCCATTTGTGATTTGTAAGAAATCGACACAGTTTTGAGAAGACCTGATGCGTTACATGTTCCATATTTTCTAGCTTTTATTGTAGAACTAGATTTCGACCCGCACAACCGTGCGGGTATTTTAATACAAAAATATTTGAAATTATATAATAAAATTTATCAATAAATAAGTATAATTTGATTTTTTATGCTATCCAATTTCATAATCATTTTTATGTGACTTATAATATTATTAATATAAAATTTATAAATTTTTATTTTTGTAATAATTTTTTAAAACATTATTATGTAAGATTACTAATTTAGATATTTTGTTTATTTCTAAATTTAAAATCTATATAAAAAATAATTAATTTGGACCTATATAATACATAAAAAAAATTTGGGATATTGTTAAAAGTATTTTACATAATTTTAACTTTTTGTTTATAAATTTAAAATGAATTAAAATTTTAATTATATTTTATCATAACTAAAATTTTAATCAAATAATTTTTGAAACTATATCTTGAAAAAGATTCTAAAAGATATTTAAAAGATTTTGTTAGAATTTTCTTAAAACTATTTATTTATATTTCAAACAAAAATTAAAGATATGAAAAGATATTATATGTTATGTAAAATTTTATAAAACTCTAGAGATGGTCCAAACTAAAATATCACACATGAAGTGAGTCATGACTTCTCTTTTAATATAATAGATTTTGGAAATTAAAAAGCCAGGAATGTTTTTATTATGTTTCAAAATATCACTTATTTTAAGCAAAACAATGTTCTTCTTACATATACGAAGAATTCTGGCTAAGATCCCAAATATTCAGCGACCACACGAGTTTTGACACCAAATGCATATGTGGCCGAGTGGCCTTATCTTTGAGCAAGTTATCTTCCACATCTGATATGTGGCAGTCATTTCCATCTCTATCTTACTTCGAAATTGTTCTTTTCTTGTATTTTGCTTGCTTGGACGTACATCATAAATATGTTATTCATATTGTATATGGAAAGTAAATCCGGTTTATGTAAACCATTCTTTTTTTGTTGATAAATATATTTCACATTTCAACAGAAAAAAGATAACTGGAACATCGAAAAAATTATCAAAACACAAGATTTATTTATTCATACAACAAGCAAGGATACAACAATACCACAAGTGAAAGTATAAGAAACCGAAATAAAAAAAACTGTGAAGTCTGTAGGAATCACATACACACATACATAAATAAACACACACACAAAACACGAGAAACAAAGGCGATATGTAAGTTTACATGAAATGTGATGGTTGTATGATTAGAATCTTTATTAGCATTGGAAGCCAGGAGGAACCTTTTTGCTACAAACATTGAGAAGCAGACTGAGAGAGATGGGGACGTTCAAGTTATTCCCGAGAATATTAGCCTTCAGTGCGGTGCAGAGACAAGCCGCAGCCTCAAGATCAGCGAGTCCTTTTATAAGCGTGCAACATGGCTCGACTGGTGGTTGGCCAAGGGTAACGTTAAGTAGACCGTTGAGCACGTTGGCACAGACTCCAAGCTTAAGGGCGTCTCTAGGGCATTTGGCTGTGGCAGGGCTAGGGCTTGGGGTTGGCTTGGGTTCAGGGTTAGGTTTTGGCTTGGGAGAAGGGCAACCGCAGTTACCGCAGGCTGAGATTGCTGTGAAGAAGATGATATTGAGAATCAAGAAAATGGCTAAAGAGCTTGTGGTTTTTGAACCCATTGTTGAATTCTCTTTTTGCTTCAAAAGAGACTTTGGTGTGTGTGAATTGGAATGCGGAGAACATGGAGGGTGCGAGGTAGCTTTTATAATAGTTTGTAGGATGGGCCGAGATATTATATGACCTCATATGGTCGTTTTTATAAGGGGAAAATTGCCAAATATGACTCAAAACTTGATTTGAAATGCAAAAGTAAACCCAAACTTGAATCAAATGCAAAAGTAACTTAAAAGGCTGTTGAAATTACAACCAACCCCTTGTGAACAAACAAAAAAAGAGTTTTTTTTTTACGTTTTTAGCCCTCGCAAGTCGTCTGGGACAGTTTTTCTTAAAAATAATTTAAAAATTGTGTAATAAATATTTTGATAAATGAAAAATTGGAATTATGTAATTAACATATGTCTTAAGAGATATAAATTAATNATAAATATTTTGATAAATGAAAAATTGGAATTATGTAATTAACATATGTCTTAAGAGATATAAATTAATATATAACAAAATTCAGTTGTTTTCAGCATAGATGAGTGAAAGTAGTGAGTCATGATATTCTTTGGTTTAGGTTTCACCAACATATGTTGTAGTATTGTATGTGTTTCTTAGGGTTAGATTTTTGAAAGCAGAAATGTTTTTTTGAAAAATTAAAAATTTACCTAAGTGTGTTTATTTCTGTGTATAGTAAACAATATTTAAGTATAATTTGATTTTATAACGTGGTTACTTAGTTAATTTAGTCAATTTAGTTTAGGGTTTAGGGTTTAGGGTCTGGACGACTTATATTTAAGTCGTGTGGTAAATATATTTAATAATGCAGACGACTTAGTCGTCTTATAGTATCAACAGACGACTTAATTATAAGTCGTCCAAACCGGATTTTACCAAATTACTTTTAAACCTAACCGTATTTTTGACCGGACATATATAAGATAGTTTTTTTTTTTACTCATTTTTTCGCGAAATTCAGAAAACCCTAACGCCGTTTCTCTCAAAGGTTATTTCGAGGCGATTTCGATCCGATACAAGACCAAGGTAAATCGAAGGCTTCTCTTGCGGATTTATGGGTTTTTATTAGTATGGATGTTGTTTTCCTTTACTTTTACCGTTTTGTTTTGTATTTTCAACGATTTCTGAAAATTTTGGTTTCAAATTAGGGTTTCAAAAATTGGGGATTTCAATCGATTTGTTGTTTCGTTAGGTTGGATGTAGTTTTCCTCTCCTTTCATGGTTACGATTTGTGATTTCAAGCAATTTGTGGATATTTTCATTCTCAAATTAGGGTTTCAAAGATTGGGGATTTCAATCGATTTGTGGTCTAGTTAGGTTGGATGTTGTTCTCGTCTCATTCGTCTGGTCAGCTTTCAAATGTTCTACTGGAAGTCTTGTAAAGTCGTCTGGAAAGTCTTCCAGGTGGACGACCCAGACGACTTACCGTTAAGTCGTCTGGGAAGTCTTCCAGGTGGACGACCCAGACGACTTAATATAAGTCGTCTGGGAAGTCGTCCAGGTGGACGACCCAGACGACTTAAAATGTCCCAATTTCGTTTCTTGTTTGCAGATGGCGAATCAGCATGAACCTCACTTCTTCAAGCCTCTGCTTCCTGGTTTCTGCAGTGGCGTGGTATACACACGCTCTCTATTTCTCCTCTGCTTATTTCTTTTGCTTAACTTCTCCTTTGTTGACTTGTAGACAATACCACTTGCCTTCTACTCAAAACACATAGAAGGGAACGAAGGAAAATGGACACTGCGATCGGACGCTTCACACCAAACTTGGGAAGTTATACAAGAAGGAAGAAGACTCACCGATGGTTGGGAAGCCTTCGCCCAAGCACACTCCCTTTGCCTCGGTGACATTCTCGTGTTCAAAAAGGAAGGAGACATGGTATTTCATGTGACTCCTTTCGGTCCTAGTTTTACTGAGATTCAGTATACACCTCATCAAGGGG